GAACCGCTTGTTGTAGCTCTAGCCAATCGATGAATTGACGACGCTCAAAGCAAATAGCCTCGGACGCTCATTGTAACTATCGAAATAGTCGATTTGCGCTGCTTAGACTAATACTCAATACATTGTTTTACTCCTTTTTGCAATAATAATGTCGTTATTTTCGATGTGCGATGGGCCAATCCTTTTCGAAGTTCCATCATCTTCATAAATACAGAAACCTTGGTACTCATGTTTATTCACAATTAAACCGAAGCTTTCGTACAAGTGTACAGTATCGTATCGTACCAGGAATAAGTACGCAAGAAGACAGTACAATGTGACAATGTGACATACGCTGGTTGATAATGAAATCCTCAGAAACGCTTGAGCAGATATGGCAGGATTCTATATTGTTTACCCTTTTGCAAAAAAATAAGGCCTAAAACGAGCTACTTGGCAGATAAATTACTGCTGTTTAATTTGTCGCAACTCGCAGTTAGACTTGACAAGAAGAATGCGCGGTGAACTCAATCACGATTTGGATTGAATTTTGCTCCAGTCCTTCGCTCCGTCGCAAAAGATCTTGAAACCAGAATTGGGCTTTTAATGTTGCAAGTTATGTATCTGACTAAATTGTATTGATTTAGTGTCGGATTATCATTACGTTTTGAAATTATGAAACGCTATACAATTGTCGCCATGAACTTTCAGATTACTACGAAACTTGTTAATTCTTCCAAACATGCAACCTCATTACTACCCTCACGGCCGTTGCCCAAGTTAGTCGATTGTGGCTATACCATTTCAAATCTGAGTATTTCAAGGAAAGAAAAAACAAGCAGATGTTAATGTGCTTGATGACATTATTTAAAAGAGATGCACCTTTGATTAGAATTAAGCTGACGATAGTATTTACGTACCACAGTTCTGTCGGTCGATGGCCCCACATATCATATATAACCGTCGCGAAAGAAGTGAATTAACGTTAAGACCTGATGTTAACCCGTCCACTTTATCGTTGGTAAGATCTCAAAGGATTATTTGTAAGAATGTGTGTGCAGATGAAGCGATAAAGTTTTCTCACAAACTAAGAGATGATTCATAGAATTGGTGAAATAAGGCATATATTTCGTTCCATTTGTACTTCGAAGCCGTGCTTCCATCTCGCCGTTTCGAGAAAGCCTTGAAATCCTTAAGTCTCATTTACAAGGAAAGCCTCCGGTAACATTTCTCATGTCATTTTTTTGGTAGTGCTTATCTTAAATGCCAATTTTGAAGGGCATATATCGATCCGCAGCCGAGATTCATTCCCCGATTTTCTCTTCAGTGATTCCTCGGCTACGCATTTACCCATGGCTTCGAAACAATTTGCTTTATCTGCAGCTCTAGCTAGTCTCTTCGCGACTAGACTTGCGACTGCTGACGTCTATATCTCGGTAGAGCACGACGCCACTTACTCGCTGTCTGAGTCTTGTGGCGTACCTTGTTCCGGTAGTGGAGCGGAGCCTGCAGGCAATGCTTGTCCCAAAGCTGGCGACGTCGCCACTGCCGACTGTCATTCGCACCTATTATCGTACAATGGTGCAACTTGCGTTGCACCGGTCGATGCCCAGTGCATTTTGATTCACGACAACGTATGGGGTTGTGCATTTTCGAAAATGGGGTACCCTTCTTCTAGCAATATTGAATCCGTCGCAGCATACGATGGAGATAGCACGGGCTGGAGTACTGCTTATGAGATGAATGATTATCCAATGGAGGATACCCCATCCAGTGTCCACTACAACACAGCACTCGATACACCACTTGATGTCAATTGTGATGTTTTGACTGAGACGTCGAGTCACCAAATGGGTGGCGCGATGGACGAAGGAAAATACTATGGCTCGACAGATTCCACGATGGTCGACCATCAAAAGTCCACCAAAAGCGAGTATGAAGACACCAACCACAACAACTTACTGAGGACTGGCTCAACAGATAAGCCCACGGCCGAAATCAAGAAGGACTCACCAACGTATATTCACGATGTCACCGACATGACCAACGGCGACAAGACTTCTACAAAAACTACAGCTGAAGACGATATGATGAACGGCGAATACACCACCGCCACTGCAGTGAAAGAAACTAATGTGCCTCTAGAGGGTAGCGACAGCATGAAAAGTCACACTACTGGTGTGGCTCCACACGTCGAAACAGCAATGACTGGTGAATACCACCATCCTCCGACTGCTGAAGAAGGTAAAAAAATGGCGAGTTACGACACTGGTAAGTCGTCTGGAGAGAAGACTGCTGAATATGCTGCTATAACCGATGGTGGGTATACTACCGACATGACAGGTGGATATACTACCGATACTACAGTGGGAGATAAGAGTATGGAGAGCTACATTCCAAGCGAAAGTGAAACGACACCAAGTGGTAAATATACTTCGGGTGTCGAACATGGCATTACCCCGGTAGCAGTACCAGCTGACCATATGACTTACTCATCAGAGTCATACACGGAGGGCTACAACGGCAACAAACTTAGTCACGAGTATGTGACTCGTATTCCTGAATATGCCGGATCGTACCATGGATCTGAATACGCCTCCAAGAAGAGTACCGACATGCTAACATACCAGCCTCCTTATCACTCACAAGAGGAGACAGCTTATGCTTCTACCGAGAAACCTTGCGATTTGATTGTGCCAGAAGATGAGACTGTCCATCAACCAACATATGAACACACAACGGCGCCATCAACAGTCGAAATGCCCCTCGAACCTGTGATTACTCTTCCCACGGTAACATTAACCCCAGCCGTCCTCCCTACGAACACTTTGTCTCCGGCAACCATAACGTCGCTGTGCTCCGATGGAGGTGTTAATGGTGTTCAAGTAGAAGCTTTGGTACGCTACAACAACCTCGATATCATTTCCACGACGGCAGGCAACCGAGATGAGCAAACGTGGCGCTCGTGTTGTGAGCAGTGCTTGCTGAACCTCGTCTGTGTAACATTTAGTTTTGAAGAACTTGTTTCTGCAAATGTGTGTGTTCTGACGGGCTCTGCGACTGGGAAAACGACAGAGCTTCCGAACTGGCAATCAGGTAACGTCCTGAATGTTCGCGCTCTAGTGAACGTCTAAGCAACAACCATATCTTGAAACCTTTTGCTCTTGTAACGACTGTATAAATCCATGAATTACTTTACTACTTTCCTTACCTTTTCAGTCTTCTTCACTTCAAACCAAGATGAGAACTGCCTGGCCATCTATATGGTTTAACCGTTACGCTGACTGCACATTTTACTTCAAAGAACGATATCTTCCTTTTTCAGAAAATAGGTGGATCTAAATCCATTCTGAACAAGTTCGTCAAACTATACACATGAACAGTCATTTACAAGCACCGAAAGTCTAATCAAGCTCAAACCAACTACATGAGGAAAAGTTTGTGAAGGGTCGACCGTTTGACAAGTTCTCAATGGTGGATTAATATTCCTGCATAATTCCTTAGAAAGAAGTACGATCGGTGAAAGGACATTGTCACTGGCTTTTTTTCCAGCGTTTCGATCGTCTTTCCTACCTGACGACTAGTTAACGGAAATTCCGCAACCATGCGAGGGGTTGGTAAGGAAGGCATCTCAGTGTACAATTTCACTTGGACTTACAAGATGTTACGCCTCGCCACTGCTGCCTCTATCTTCGCTCTTGTGGCCGCAGCTCCCGATCCAAACCCAAACAAAGAGACGAACTTTTCCACAGTTCATTTTGACAACTGGACAAAATCAATCAAATTGAATCCGAGAGTACAGCATATCCCGCTGAATCCAGAAAAGAGTCGACTGCGACCTCCTCCGGCGCATGTTCCCGAAAACTTTTCCATGTTTGTCGGATCTTCCGTCTTTCGAGATGGTTATCGCTGCGGCAAAACTCTATTTACAGCGTTTCAACGTGCGACACACCCTGAACGTCTTCAGTTTGGGATTCTCGAGCAAATCTACGAGGGTGATCCCACTTGCCTAAACGAATACTGCAAGATGGCAGCACTTGAATGGCCAAATGATCCAGAGTGTCGATATGAGAATCAGATCACCATTGACACCCGTGATGCTGCTGAGTCTGCTGGGTGTACAACGGCGCGGCACCTACAGCAAAAGCTGGTAGGAAACCAAGAGTTTTGCTTGCAAGTCGACGGCCACAGCATTTTCACGAACCGATGGGATGAAAATATTCTGGCCGATTGGGTCTCAATTAACAATGAGATGGCCATTTTGACCATGTATCCACACAATACGCACAATAACATGGTCAAGGAGAATGGAGACAATAATGGAATTAACTCAGTCCCCCACTTGTGCAATATCATCAAAGGGGGCAATGGACTTCCCCGTATTAAGGCGGCAAGTTTGATTCGCGACTCATGGATGCCACAGATGGCTGCACTGTGGGGCGGTGGATACTCATTTAGTAAGTGCCATGCCGAGCGAAATGTTTTGATCGATTCACATACGCCTTGGCTTTGGGATGGCGAGGAATTCATGCGTTCAGCCAACTACTGGACGTCCGGGTACGATCTATACTCGCCAAGTATGCTGGGCAACGTCCTTTACCACAACTACTCCCAAAAGCCCGCGAGCTTCTGGGTGTCCCCAATAGATCCTTCGAAAAAAAATCTTGACACGGAAATGAGTCGCAATCGTGTTCGTCTTCGCATCGGAATGCCGTTCAAAGGCGTTGTTGATACATTTGAGCTCAAAAAGTACGAATTTGGTCAAGTGCGCTCCTTTGAAAGCTTTCTTAAGTTTGCCAACGTCTCCTTTGACGGTTGGATGAATGACTCAAATTCGTGCGGGCAATTGCACTGGGTACCATACGAGAATGCAACCACTGTAGAAGACACGGTTGGTCGCGGTTGGAAATTGAACGATGAAAGGGTTGGATTGAACGAAAAAGATACTTTTGAAGCCGTTCGTCTTGGTCAAGATACGAATTTGCAACACACATTAGCTTCGTCAGATGAGGCCGCAGCCAACCAGGCCATATTAGCTCACAAAATGCGTACCAACCTTGGTTTGAAAACTGCTGTAGCTCATGGGACAGGTGATGCTTACAATGGTGATCTGGCTGCGAAGTTGCGACAGGAAATAGCGAGTCCGTTCAAATTAAGCTCGGGAGCTGAAATGTCAACGGGCATTGTGGTTGCCCTTGTGCTTGCATTTGTCTTTGTGACGCTGTCGAATGATGCAAAATCACGCGTGATTCGCAACCAAGTCTGGGTAAAACTAAAAAGCAAATCAAGTCATACGACTGATTGATCTTGGATATTAGAATAAAAAAAACAACTGAGATATTAATTCAGTTCATACGACTTAAGTAGCTTAGTAAATTCGTTGCTTCGCCTTCTAAAAACGTTGAAGTAGTATTGAATATGGTATTATGTATATCAAATATAGAACGAAAGCATAAAGAATCCTTATTATCATGCAGCATGTGATTAATCTATGAGTGCAAACAGTTTTTTGGCAAGGAAAGGTCTGCTCTAGTCTAGATTGCATATATGGCTTAATACGAAAATCAGGCTCGTCCTTACCTGACGTTTTCACAAACGTTTCAACGCGCATTGAAGATCAAACGAGCGCTCGTGAGACGTTGAGAAATTGCTTCTCTGTCTCAAATTCACGACAAGGTTTCCTCATCCTCTGCATATTAGATAACGTTTTCACGAAAAGCTGTCACAGTTGCGAAACGATAGTCTTAGGTAATCAATCGCATAAGCTTTTTGGAAAACTTCGAATCGCGGGCCAAATCTGATCGCTACCTGCCATAATAGGCGAATTACTAGACTTGCCGGATGACAATGCATGCAAGACGAATGATGAGCACACTTTTGTGCAAAACCACGGGCTTCGTACTACTTCACGATGCTACGGCCGTCAACTCCCTGATAACGACAGCTGAGCAACTTATACTATACTCAAGTAGCGACAATAAGCCGATTTCCAAAGGATGCTCGACGAAGATACTTGCCAGCTGCGACGACCATAAAGTGCGACGGTTGATCACAATCATTTTGGAGTTTGACGCCGTAGTTCAAGACAAGTAGGTGTTTGAATTGATGACGCACCTCAACATTGTACTATTGGTACTTTGATCAAATTCATCTAAAAAATTAGACCCATGCTGCCTGAAGAGATTCAATAGTGCAAACACTGGCCGGATATCTGGCCATTTTTGACAGCCTAGTCGATGTGGAACTTTACCGTGTGGCCTGTTCGACCTTGAATATATTACGAGCAAGCTGCGAATGTTGCACGTGATTCTTTTAAGTAACTACTTAACCAAAGTGTTGATTGCACGCCTCTTTTGCCCATACTCCGCGAGAGAACTGGCCAGCTTAGATGGAATCCAGCGTGCAGCCTCCGCCATAGTAATAGACGTTCGCGAGCGTAACAAGTACATTAACCGACTACCTGGACATGAGCTTCTGTTGTATTGTCAGAGATGCAAACCCCCTCCTTCACATGTGGTATTCTTTCGATTCCTGTAAGGAGACACAGCGAAGTCGCAACACTCTAAGATTATCACTTACAAAAAATAGCAGGGTCCACCCCTTCAAAGAAACGAGCTACGTGTTTGGTCTCTTGACTGCTAGGGTCCATATTTTCGTGCATCACCATGCCACACTCGCTGCCTGAGTCTCGCGGCTGCCTTGCTCTAAAGACGGATACCTGGTCCACATTGTTTGTTGGTCCCTGACTGCCTTTGGCACCTACTGTAGTTCAACGATGGCATGTACGTTGCTTTAGTGGATGCTTAATGTCTGCTAACTTTCAACATCTTCTGAAGCTCAGCATTGCAAGGATTAAATACGCTTTCAGGGGCAATATGCATTTCATCACAGCCTACGACAATGAAGTGCGCTCTCAGTGTCAGCTTAGCCACGACATAAAATTGCTTTGCCACTCAATTCTAATCGCGATGTTATGGCAAAATTTACGACCTACAAACAAAAGGATCGATGAAAAGCGACGACAACAATGGCGCCATTATCGTTGACTCTCAACAGTTGGCTAGATATCCCAATGAAGCATAAAGAACGATTCACTATGCCGTTTATAGTTGTATCCACAGTAACTTGAACGGAAAACAAATGTTGACAACGCTATTCGTACAATTCAAGGCAGCAGGCATCCTACATAAAAAATTAAAGATATTTTAGATAAAAATTATAATGTTGAGTGCCGCAAAAGAGATGAGTTGGTATAGAAAGACCTTGTGAGACGCACGCTTTCGAGAGAAAAATGGCGCAGCCATCACAATTTGAATCCAATGATGAGCCAGCTACTGGATTGATCGTGACGAAGCCCATCATCATGCAATCACCAGCTTAAATGTCCATTAGTTATGCTTCTATCGAAAGTTGACCCCGATCGCAGTGCCACAGATCAAGTGGCCTTTACGCTACCACCTGGTCATGTGACTCGAATCACTCCATGACATTGCCTTTGGTTGTGCTACCATCATCGCGTGCATTTATCAACAACTATTGCGCCTGTAACCTGTTACACTGCCTCTATACCAGCAACAGTCATCCCAATCTCGTTCCTTTCTATAGCATTACCATCGGCACAATCGGTCTCTAAACGCTACCACCTGATAACGACACTACCATCGGGAATATTGTTCCTATCGCCTGCTGCCTCAATATCCGCGTAAACTCGTTCCTATTTACGCTATCTGATTGCTCTGTCTCTCTACATTACTACAAGCCAGTAATCATTACTTATTCTATGTCAGTATCTTAAAGTGATGTAAAATTCTGAAATTCTGTTATATTGGGTGCATACCGATAGTCTGCATTGGGACTCGCAGCTATTGGTATTTGTGTTTCTATAGATTTCACCCTATATACAATTCTGTATCAATGATTTATGAGAGTGTCATTATTTGAGCAATGTAAGTTTCTACAGAGGCTAATTCTGAACATTAGCCCCTGATGGATTCGCCTTAAAATATTTTACAAGTAATACAGTTGTTTTTCCATAATACAGATTTGTAGATCAGTATACTGGTTCAGTGCTTATATATTCTTGGGGTACACACAACCATATTTGCCATTTCACCGAAATAATACTTCTATTTCTAACTGGGACGCAGCCATGAAGAACCTACGAATCCTCCTGTCGCTAGGGGCTGTAAGCGCTCAAACCCAAGGCGAGCAAATGTCTACCCTTACGCTTCCGAATAGCCGAGAGACACGTGTGCTGGATCCGAGCGTCCAGCATATTCCACTCGAACCGTATGACAAAAATCTACGTCCGCCACCAGCCAACATTCCATCAAGCTTCGAGATTCATATTGGAACTTCTGTTTTTCGCGACGGAATTCGGTGTGGATATACTTTATTCACAGCATTTAAGCGAGCGAAGTATCCAGAACGTCTTCGTTTTGGTATTGTGGAGCAAATATTGGACAGTGATTTTAAGTGTCTAGACGAGTATTGCAAACTGGCTCTTGTTGAGTGGCCAGATTACTCTCAATGCCGCTATCAAGAGCACGTACAAGTTGATGTACGACCTGCGGCAGAGACTAGAGGATGCACTACAGCTCGTCATCGTCAAAAAAAACTGATTGGTAAGGAAGAATTTTGTCTACAAGTGGATGGACATAGTATCTTTACCAATGGGTGGGATGAAGCTTTGATTACTGAATGGAAACGAATTGACAATGAAATGGCTATTCTTACTGTTTATCCGCATGATCTCCATGATTTTATCAAGGAAAATGGCGACAATAATCCACCACATTGGATCCCACATATGTGTACGACTTATAAAGGTGGCAATGGACTCACGCGACTTGGTGGTGCAAACAATAAGCGTAACGCCAACTTTCCACAATTAGGTGCACTTTGGGGTGGTGGATTGTCGTTTAGTAAATGTCATGCTGAACGGAATGTGCTGGTAGATCCATATACGCCATGGCTTTGGGATGGCGAAGAGTTTCTGCGGTCGATTGATTACTGGACGCACGGCTATGATTTGTACTCACCTAGTAAGTTGGGTAATGTATTGTACCACAATTACACAAAAAAGCCGAATAGTTTCTGGGAGTCCCCGGTAGATCAGAAGGTGAAGGCTTTGGATATGGAACGAACACATAATCGCGTCCGTCTTCGTCTTGGACTGGGATTTATAGGTCAAGTCAATGCCATGGAACTCGATAAGTATGCATTTGGTACTGCACGCACGTTTAAACAGTACTTGCACTTTGCAAATGTGACTCTTACAGGCTTTATGAACGAAACAAATTCATGTAAACAGCTACATTGGGTTCCGTATACAAATTCAACGGAAGTAGAAATAATTGTGGGGAACGGATGGAAAATGATTGCCCCGGCACCCACTCCAGCCCAGCCAGCCGCGGGTGTACAAGGTTCACACAACGTAGATGCACAAGGTCAAGAGGCGCACGAATTGGCCGAATCAGGCGAAGGAGCAGAACATGGAGGTCGGGGAGAAGGAGAGGACTTGGCAACGCTACACACAATGAGCAAGGAATCGAAGGATAGGGAAAGGCTTGCTATACGGCAAGGTAAATCCTCAAACAGAAGACATCCGGGAATTACTGCTGCAGTATGGGGTGTACTCGCTGTTGTTTTGATTGCTCTCTTTGCAGCACTATCGAATGACCGCATAGCGTATGCCATTCGACGAAGTTGCTTTTCAACAGCACCTCATCATAGTCGCGATTGAGATTCGTCCTATGGAATGCTATGGGCTCTTCATCTTTTCATCAGGCAACGATGTAATTTCTTTACCAAGTTACGCGGTTTGTTTGATTGAAAGGTCTTTATTGATACTCTGACGGTGCTTGGATCCTCTTACGCTTATGGTATACTATCAAATTCGACAAAGTAACGTGTTTACTCATCTCGTCCTAGAGTTGGTGATGGTTATTAAAGACTTTAAGTTGTGAGTCGTTAAAGAGTACACGTACTTGTTTTTGCATGTTACACGTTAATGAATCAAATTTTGTAGAAGATTTAAGCTGCACGTAGGATTCTGCACTGCCGCTCGAAAACTTGCTAAATTGTCACTCACACCAAGTGAGCACTCCCAGGTTTATCGAGAATCTAATCAACAATAGTGTGGGCTTCATTACCTTCCACTTCCCTTGGTAAATTGAAAGGAACGAAAGAGTCCGTTGAAGTGTGACATGCCCACGGTTGCAACACTTCATTTTGCTTCCAAGGGATCACAGGATGTATCTGGCTTTGACTTTTCTCTGTTGGTGATGCTACACCATCCTCTGGGTGGACCTGCTGGAACTGTCTTTTCATTGCACTCTTCTCCACAAGTTTTCGACTAGCATAATGAAACTGATTCGTTGCCATCGCAAACAATTGAGGGCTTATTGGAGCTTGTATATGTATGTCCGCTTTTGTAGTGAACTTGGCTGACTTATACTTTGCCGATTGATCAGCATCAACATTTGCAGCCACAACCCGTCGTTTCTGGTTCGGACTTCGACCTGCATTTGCAAAAGTTGAAATCGGGGGGAGCGTAATTCCAAGCTGACGTTCCAAGGTTGGTTTCATAGGACTAGAATCTTTCAGACTCGTCGTATCAGAAGACCTGAGATATACCGTCGCAATTTGGGCTTGAAAGAGTCGAATTTTCTCGAGTATAAACAACAAAACCTCGTAAAAATCTTCTGATGACAATTCATCTAATGCTGGACGAGTGATCAAAACATTGCGTCCGAAAGCTTCCATTGTCGTAATACTTGGTGCGAGCTGAATTAGTTCTTCAACACGTTTATTCGCTTCAAAGTTCACAGAAATGTTTTTGTCCTGTATTAGTTTAAACTGTGGACTAGTATTTCCACCTCGGATCTCGGTAACTTCATCTAACAAGCGATAGAGAAATTCAACAACTTCGTCCTGTTGCGCCAATACATATTGCCGCTCGCTTTGAAAGACACGAAGCCATCCAAGTGCACGTTCCAGCTTCTGTTCAAGCTCAACATTCGTTTTGTCCTCTCTACTTCTTGCTAAGCTTGAATTTTCCGAATGGACAAGCGTCACATTCGTTTCAAAAGGTTTGATCCCCGTTTCTAACTTTATGATGGGATTCCACTCTGGTGAATTCGACTGCTGTAATTTCGCGAGAATTTTCTGGTAGTAAAAATGTTTCTTTGCCATTCGAGCCTCATTGGCCTCCAACACTCTTTTCTCAATTCGTAGCTTTGTCACCTGCTGTTGCGCTTCATCAAGTCGAGCAAGCACTTTCTCCGTTTCTTGACTTTGGAATGCTAGCTCTTGAGTAAGATGCTCAATTTCGAGTAAACTACGATGTGTAGTGCATACCACCTGATCATTCGTGTGTTCCGTGATTTCTTGCTTAGCAACACTTATTGGACTTGAAAGCTCTTGTTTGCTACGAGCTTTCTCAAGTGAATTAGCCCGTTCTATACTTTGTATTTGAATGTGAAAAGCTACACGTTGAGCGTCGAGCTTGTTCTCTAAAGCGCGAGTATGGGTCTCTAACTCAAACTTTGCCTGTGCAAATTCTTGCACATGTTGTAAATTTTCTTTCAGAGCGACAATCTCCTTTTGAGCTTCGTGAGACTCGGCAAAGTGCTCTTGTTCTGTTTTTTCCTGCATTGCTCGAGCTGTTGTTTCAAACGTTCCCATTTGTTCTTGTGCTTCAGCCAGCGCCACTTCAAGCTCAGCAATTCGAGTCATGTTTTTGTCAAATTGATTCTTAAAATACTGAAACATATCGCTCTGTTCCTGGGTCTGTTTGGTCAATTGATGCTTAAGAGATGCCACCTCCTGTTTAAGCAGCACATTGGCCGCATCTTGACTTTGAAGATGTTCGTTCACCAGCATCATGTCGAAAGCCAACGTGGGGTCCATGTGGCTTACAGCAACCAGCAAAGCTTGGGAAAGAATACGGTACGGAACTACTTCAGCTTTTTCATCAGAGCAACTTTCATCGATTGGAATTGGCGTTGTATGCATCACCTCCACTAGTTTGTCAGCGTCGAAATATCTACAACATGGAATTTAATTGTGAGTCAGCGCTATTTTGAGAATGGAACTGCAATAGTCCACAACCCGTTCCTTTACTGGCTAATTCGTTGAAATTGCCGCATTAGGTGAATAGAATGCGAGATGCTTTGATCTCCATTTGCTGGTAAATTTTGTTTAGTTATCGTAGGTATGTTGGACTTGATATCCGCGTATGTTGATAACCGCGTATGTTCCAAGCCTATTTCGTGGACTTTACATATGAACAATCGTCCATGTCTGTTGTAGTCTGAAATGAAGTAGACAAAAATAATGCAAAGTTGGTACCTCGATTAAAGCAGTATTTCTTTTGCGCACCTCCTGCGCATTTATTATGGCCAAGTATCATACTATTGCTTGTTACATTTCACATAAATTGTTGATGAAGGTGAGTATTTCATCACTTCTAGCATTACCATATAGCGTTTGCTTTGATTGCACATTGACTTATTTGTAGAATTGCAACGACGCCTGAGATTGCGCAGCACATTTTTAAGGAAGAATGCACCGAAGATGACACTAACAATGACTGCAACCAGAAGGAAAAAATGCACTTGAATTTACTGCATCAAATATCTCATTGTTCGATGCTCGCTATCGTAGACGACTTGACAAGCTCCATTTCGTGTTGTGGCTTGATCATTTCGTTGATATTGTCTATGGACGTATCTTCATGTGTCCAGCCATTTGCCAACGAGATCTTCAACTTCAGCAGCATTTAAGTAAGGCATCCGATGGAGTTGCTGACACGATTCCACATTTTTTTGCCCTCTGCAAAGGTCACATCAAAACAGCCTAAATATTGTTTCAATGATCGGATAGTTCCAAACCCGTACTTTTCCAGCTCAAATGTACTCACACAGCCCTCAAATGGCTGACCGACCAGCAACTTGAATCGATTTAGCCGCATTTCACTCTCTTTGGCCTTCATGATGGATGTGAATCTACTGATATCCGCATTTCCGCGAGGCATTTGTTACACGAAAAACCTGCTTCCCACAGCTTGGAGCTGTAGCATCTTGGATTCTAATGCCAGCTGCAAGTGTACTTACGAGTCCTTTCCGTCCTCGTTTCATCATTCACAAATATTATCGACCTAGATTCTTCGGTGGTACATTATCCCCATTCTTTGCCACAAAGTTGGATATAAGTAGTCAGGACTGTCATTTCGTTGCCAATCCCTTTTCATAATATGGTCATTTCTCATCCCACTCACTCAAAAAGATACTCTGGTTATTCAATTCAAGACAAAAGTCTTCATCCTGTATGTTTTTTTGCCGCTGGTGTCTTGCCAGTGTCGGGCTTGTGCGCTTAGTGGTTTTCGACTTGAATTTGGTTACACCTCAAGACCCAGTGGTTATGCTGAAGCACTTTTGTCAGAAAAAATCCCTGGAATGAATAACCACGTCATGTGGACCCAGCCAGATCGTGCTGTGGACAGGCGTGAATTCACCGCAACCAGAATGACATGACGCTCGCGTTGTTGCGTAAAGAACCAGGTAAGAGCGGTATGGCGTATAGAAATTTCACTGGTATGAATAACCACGTCATGTGAACCCATGCTGCGAACTTGCTAGAATTTCTCGCTATGAGATTGACGATGAAATCAGTTCCATTCAGATCTAGTTAGGATTGCTCATATTGCTTGAGAATGAAATTGGCTTGAATGATTTGGTCCGACAAAAGCAGTCTGACGCGCCACGGTGCAATTTTAAATGTAGGCTTGCAGCTCATTCTAAGATCAAAGCACGCTCGTAAAATTTTGTCTGTGAGCGTTTCTTGTCTCTACAGGTCGCAACTCCACGTGTACCCCTTACAATTTATAAGCAATATCTTCCTCGGTCGTTGCTCTCCATTACGGCCTCTCGTATTGTGACCTGGTGAGAATGCCAAGGATTGCATACCTCAATTTATATAAGGAGGTTCGTCATCTCGACAATGTTGTAGCTTTGCACGAGAGTTGTAAAGGCATACTGACCACAGTATTGCTCATTCACGACAGCTGTCGGCGAATTCTCGAACCTGGAACAAGGCCAAACACTTTTCGCGGGAAAAATGCGAGATGCACCGCACGACTTTTTTGCTTACCCAAAAGGTTAAAGATGGCGGCGCGCCAAATCATGTACCAGGGTAGCCATACCAAAGTGGACCCTCCAGCTTCTGGGAGCTCTCGGGGTAAATGTAGCTCCTCCAAAAGAACGCCGACGAAGACGCTTCTAGAACCCGAGCATGGAAGTCAAATCCTCAATTTTGTCTTTGGTCGGTCAGGCTTGCCTGATTCGTTACTATAGCTTCTATAGCTTCTATAGCTTCCACTAATGCGTCCGTGGCCGTATCGGAAAAATACTCTTCTCGCGCACGCTGTCAGCAAATCATCTCCTGTCGGCAAGCGTAAAAATTGCGGTATTTTGTGTGTGATGGAGGGTTTAAGCTAATAATAGCGAACATAAGCCTCCAATACCTCTTAAATTAGGGGAGCGAGTGGATAGATGTTGCCAATTTTTGGATGTCTTGAATGATATTGCGCATACTGAATCGCTAATCAACAAATCGGATCTTAGTCGCCAGTATCCTGTCTTGAACGATGACGAGCCTCATCGAATGAAACAATTAATGCCCAAGTGAAGAACAGAAACAGATCATCTCTGTATGAATCAGGCAGGAGGAGAGAAATGTAGTCGGATCACTTGATTTGGAGGAGTAGTTCTATGAGAAAACAAAGCGCAGACGCCAGGGGACTCCGACGCAGAGGTCTGCTATCCAAATAATTTATCCTCTTTGAGGCGTATCGGAGGTTTGATCGTATTCGATTGAAAATAGTACAAGATCAATGGCGACGTTAAATTCATCAAGCACAACATCTAGAGCAGTAGATTTGAACCGCGCCAGCAGATGAGCGTGAAAGCCCATTTGCTCGGCAGGTCATACCGGTGCAAAGACGTTATGGATGTGTGAGGGTTAATATTGAACGACTGCATGTACAAGGAGATTTTGGCCCTCGAAAATTGCAATGCGCACCACTAGTGCGGTTTCCACTGAATGACACTTCAGCAACTTTGTAGTCCCATTTGCACCGGGCTGGGGCTGTGACGGTCACTGACGAAAAAAGAGGATGCAAAGTGCAGCAGTCCTGCCGTAGTTCTTGCTAAGAGTAAGCTAAGCTAAGATCACCGAGCTTACATTTCTATACAAGAAAAATCAGTACGAGTGTAGTGGATCGCAATCCGCCATCTCCAAGAGTACTTAAAATCTAAACCAAGGTAAGACGCTCTTCTGAAACTGTGGTTAATTGTTTTAGTCGCGGCAGAGCCGCCGATATCTAAAACCTTACGTTTTCCTGATTAATATAGTAATACCTTATTAAATCGAAAGACTTAATTGATATGCATGAGCACTGATAGCGCGGCCACGTAGTGGCTTCTTGTTACGGCGTAGCCACACCATTTTTACACCAAATTGTGTAAACCACACGTGTTTACAGTCACACCATGTTGTGTGACCCACGCATTAGTATAAGATGCGCCCCGTGCAGAAGAAGAAGGGCGCCCTCGGAACCAGCTAGGCTGGAAGTTTTTCGTGTCATAGACACGGGACTCATTGAGCGGAGAATGTATAAGGATATTCTTTAGGAGGTAACGGTGTCTCAGACACGCCAGACTTGTGTGAGGCGACAGTAAGACGCGAATTGTGGGTATTCACAAGTTTGATGGGGGAGGGTGTAACGCAATGGTGTGACTACAACATAACAAGAACCCACTACGTGGCAGGACTGCCAGTAGTAATGCATATTAATTATGTCTTACTATATTAATTAGGAAATTAATATTGGCGGCTCTGTCGCAACTAAAACAATTATATAAAGCTTCAATTTTGAACGGAAGGGCGTTTCTACTCTGGATAAGGGTTTTAAGTACTTTCGAGGTAGCGGATCGCGATCCGCTAAACTCGTACTGGTTCTTGTAAAGAACGTAAGGTTGGTGACCTTAGCTTAGCTATCCTAAACAAAGAGCTACGGCAGCCTAGCTGCACTTGGTAGCACTCGTAGTCAATCTACGCCTGGGTCATTACGACTGAACCTCGGTAAACGTTTGAGCAGTACTCCTTTTAGCCCCAGGGCATGCAGGACGGGCTTGGTAAGCTAATGTCCCTGCTTGGCCCTGAGGGTATAACACATTTTATTTCTCAAGGTCCCGAAGCGATAAACGCGCGCCTAGAGGCGTTCTTAATAATGAAAATGCTCTGCTAGAGCACCTATAGCAGAAGCTGTCAGCGTCGACTGCGTCCATGATGCCATCGTCGACGACGGATGACTCTGTCCGACCCAGGCCGCTCGTGGTCAGCGTTACGACCTTCGAGAGTAAGGATGGAAGAGTTTTCTGCTCTGGATAAGAGAGGCCGAGATGGCTATGGCATCCGCCATGCTTCACAAGCGACAGCGCGTGGTGCCAGCTATCTCCAAGCTCGGGGGTCGAGCGCCAGAATGGGCACTAACATGCGGTTCTTCGGTTGAAGCAGCGTTCCCCTCCTGGAAGGAGCTAAAGAGTCAGCTCTTGCGAGAGCGCTCACCGCCTAACCAGGCATATCGTGTGCGATCGCATTTCCTTGCCGCTCGACAGGGAAAGAAGGAGTTGGTGGACTTTGTCAAAGAGTTGAGAGCTCTCATTGTCGGGATGACAGCCGAATCTCTTCCCGAAGCGGTCGCAGTGACCGTCCTTGTGGAGGGCCTCCGCACCAGCGCGGCTAGAATGAAAGTCTTCCGGGCGCATCCGTCTTCTTTTGAAGAAGCTGTGAACGTGGCATTGAATGCCGAATTCATCTTTAAGTCGGCACGACTTGATTGGAATGCACATCGTCGAGCGAACCCGAGCCAATAGATCTCAGCTATGCTGAGAAAGAAGAAAGAGATCTCCGATCTGCCGAGCAGCGTTTAAATACTCGACGGTGTTTGTCTGTGGAGTCACCCGTCATCTTCGGACCAGTTGTCCTATGCGCAAGGTGCGTGGACTGACGTCCCGCTTCTTATCAGTCTATCGCGGTGAATGAGAACACCCAGTAGGCGCGGGGCGGGGCGAATTACTGAGGAAGACCTGAGTTTTGTTGAGCCTTTATAAGGTATGGGTCAGCAGGGACCAGCCCCGAATAACTCTGTGCTCTTGAACACGGAGCGTGTATGCAAGCCGAGCTTGCTGGTCGTAAAAGCGACCGTGGGCTTTGAGAAGCCAGGGAAAACCCTATCCGACTCCGAGGCGTTGGGTAATTATGCTCGAAGTTTCACGATGGAAGGAATTCAGATGTATGCTGAGGCGCTAATAGCCCGGTTGAATGAAACCGTCATTATTCGCTCAGCGACGGGAACATGTGTCACGGTGCCGAGGGTCCTAGTGGACCTCGGTGTCAACGCATAGTCTTACACTTGGATGCAAGGTATGACCTGATTCTTGGTATGGCAAGGTTGGAACACCATCAGCCATGGATTGATTGGAGGTCGAAGACCTTGGGCTATGCGCACGTCTCCTAGCGGAGCTTTGGTGAGTCATGGACCCACCTCTGCTAGGAAGCAGAAGTGCTATTGGCGCGGGCACTGGACTGGGATGGTCAATGTGCTGAATATCGGAGTATCCAAGCTGTACACCAAGGTGTATTTGGCAAGGGACCCGATCATGTATCGCGGGTTGAACGTGGATTGGCACGTAGCCCACTGGGCACTGCTTAAATATCAAAGCAGTTGCTGTATGCCAAGAGTGGCATGGTCGGATGAGGTCTGAGGCATCGAAGGCGAGGCCCAAGTGATGCGCGTGGAGTGGCACGTAAACCACTGAGCACTGCTCACTTTACGAAGAATTTGCTGCATGCCAAGAGTGGTATGTTCGGACGAGGCCCGAGGCATCAAGGATACGACATTTCTGATGTGCGTGGAGTGGAACGCTATCCATTGAACAAAGATTGCGGAAATAGCAGCTCTTCGTCGGATGTTGTTCATAAAATTAAGGTTCCGATGGAGCAGGGGGTGGGGACACTGGGCGATGCCGAGTGCGTGTTCCCACTGGTCTCGATGAGACGTAGATTCTTCATGTAGAGGAGACGGCGATGCCGTATTCTATCGGCAAGACGCAGAATGTTGACCCTGACCAAGGGTGTGGCTACCGTAGACGATAGAGCTCAGCTATATACGTATGACAGGAGAGGAAGACGTCGACGTCACCCTCGAGGCTATACCCACGGTGGATGCTCTTCTTGAGCAAGATGAGATGCCTTTCGAAGAATTTAATGGTGCCTAGAAGGCAAGCAATTTAGCCGAGGTGGTCATTATACGACCGAACGAGGATATTTACTCATCGTTGTTTATGGATGTAGCTGTCCAGGGGGACAGTACGAGGGTGCTGAACGCACGAAGTAGATCGTCGATCCTGAAGGATTCCTCGGATTCGTACTACCCTTTGGTAAAGAAATTGCACGACGTCGTCTCCGAAGACCCGCCGTCGGCCCTACCTCCGGCCCGAGGTGTGCGTCATGAGATCGACCAGGTTCCGGGAACCTACTACTGTGTAACACGTCAGTGGCCCTGCCCAAGGAGCAGCGTGATGTCATTGACACCTTTTTCCGTGCGAAGCACGACGCAAGAATGTTGCATGAGAGTACGTCTCCCCAGTTGATTCCCAGATTTTGTGTCCGGAAGCTGAACAGCCAGTGGCGTATCGTTCGCGCGTATCATAACCTAAACACTGCCACCTTTCCGGCGCAGACGCCGTTTTTTAGAAAGGCTGTTCTCCAGAACAATGTGGCTGGCTGTACAAAGTACAGTGCACTCGACTTAGTACATCTTCGTCCACAATCGTGCGGGCACGGGAGGACAGATATCCTAGCCAACTACTTGCACACGTAAAGCACAAACTATGCGGAAATGGTATGGCCATTGTTGAATCTTCTGAAAAAGGATACGAAATGGTGCTGAGACAACGAGCATCGGGAGGCATTGTGACAGGGTCAGAGACAGCTTCCTTCATGCACCAATACTGGCGTTGCCAGACCCTGATCGTCTTTTTAGTGTAGTCTGTGACGCTTCAAACTTTGCCATCGGCTGTGCACTGCTGCAATCAGAAGCCGGGGGGTGAGATCGGACGATCGCGTTCGATTCTCGCCAGCTTAAGGCTGAGAAGAGGAAATACCCAGTTCACGACAAGAATTTTTTGCGATGAAGCATGCACTTGCCAAGTTCCGGCTGCACCTGCTGGCTCAAAGCGGTTTGTGATCTACACAGTCATGCGTCATTACGCACTGCGACTCAGTCGCCTCATCTCTCCCATAGGATGGCCAGGTGGCTCTCCTTTGTCGCCGGATATAACTTCGAGGTAAAGTATAAGCTAGGAAAGCAGCATTCTTTGGCTGATGCGTTGTCACGCAGATCCGCGCCGCATACACGGGTGATGTTATGTGTGTAGCGCTGCTACAGGTTCTTGAGAGCAAGAAGTTTGGAAACTCGGACAAGAAATTGTCAGCGCTTTTGCGTGCACATTTACACCGACATTCGCTGAGTATACTGTATTATAGCTCTGATTAGACGCATACGCCACGAATTGTGGTTTCTCCCAATGACGATTTAAAATACCGTATCCTCTGTGAGGCTAACGAAACCCCTCAGTGGTCATCTCGGTCGTGAGAAGACGTACAGCTCTATGAGTCGCCACTACTGGTGGCCCAAGCTGTACAAATCGACGAGCATATATGTGCGCACGTGTCAGACGTGTCGGAGGTTAAAAGACGCTCCGAATGCGGCGGCGCCGCTAGCCAGTTTACCGGTACCTTCAGGGTGTTGGCGGTCCATGAGTATGGACTTTGTGTTTGGTCTGTCGAAGGACTCGGCGAGCAACACGAGTGCGGTGGTCTTTTTGGGCCGTTTGAGTAAGACGACTTATCGTGCGGTAGTGCCGAACACCATCGACGGTATGGTTACAGCGACGCTGTTTACCGATCGTGTCTTTCGACAACATGGACCCCCGGAGTCAATTGGCTTTGATCGAGACACACGCTTCACTGGAAAGTTTTGGTCTACAATCTGCTGGGTACTAAGCACCAAGTTGACTATGTCAACAGCAGACTATCCGCAGACTGACGGTAAAATTGAGCGCGTGAATCGCGTCGTTGAGCGCGTCTGCGCTGATACGCCGAAGCGCTGGAGCGCCATGCTGCCACTCGTAGAGTTTGCTCTGAACAACGCAGATCATTCATCTACCTACACGCCGTTGTACGTAAACGGGCGTGTGAATCCTTCGTCCCGCGAACGCCGCCATTCCATGACTCAGGGTTTGGTGGGGGAGTTATAGTCGAACGGCTAGCTGATGCCAGCTTCATCACTGTCCGTAAAGAAGTCGATGACTTCCTGTCTACCAGACTGCGTGTCCTACGACGCGTTCGCGACGCGATGGATGAAAGCCAAGACATGCAAAAAGAAAAAATATGCAGACGGAAGAAGCATAGGAAATGTAGAAAACATTGAGGTCGAAGACCTGGTTTAATTAAATGCTAAAATCCTTTCTGCACATGCAGTGTCTGCTGTCCATATGACAAAGCTCCATCCACAATTATTTATACCTTTTAAGGTCGTAGCCAAGCGAGGCCTTGCGTATACGCTAAACCGTCCGCGAAGGCCCGGTGTTTTATGTGGGCTTGCTTAAGCTGTACCGGAATCCGGCGCAAGTAAACACGGAAGCGTTGACTAGGAACAGTGCCCAAGAAGCGCTCGGCCACCCAGAAGCTGAACCAGCAACTAGTTCTGAAGACAGAGTGCAATAATTTCGGTTTTTCAGCGGCGCAAGACGCTCCACCGTCGCTCAAAATAAACTATTCGTCTGCTCGACGACTAAGAGCCGCTCTTACAGAGCACGATAATTCGCAACGTGAGGAGGTCGGTGCACTAAGGCTCCAGACTCTCGAGGTCTTCCGCACAGCGATAGGCGGCCGCTCAGAATCCGTGGGAGTTTGAAGTGCCACTGCCCAGACGTCGTTGACGCTTATGAACAGAAGGATCATGACGCTTCGCGTCGTTGCGCGCTTCTCAGCGGTAGTCCAGGAAGCCAAAGAGCCATGAGCTGAGTCAAGCTATGGCTCTGAACTGCTGTGGTCGTAGATGCACCCATGCGAGAAACCACAGAGCTCGCGGGAGCGTGATGAATTTTTCCACGTGTCGCAGGGCGACAATACACATGAAGTCGGCGTTGCGCTTGAGTTTGGCAATGTCAAATTGAAGGTGGCGTTTTGCGCGCACATCCACTCCCTTGTGGCTCCGCTATAAGGTAGACAGCGAGGAAAGTTTGCGGTGCCGCTGCTCCCATCGCTCAAAGAGCCATTCATTATCTGCAGCGGTTTCGCCAGGGGCGAGCACCCCAGGAATAGTTTGCATTGCGGGTACAGAAGTGCTTCCGTTTTGAGCGAAGTCGAGCGCGGTACCAATCTATTGGGATTTCTTGAGGTACCAAGAAGCAAGCTCGGAGAGCTTTCTTGCTGGTCAAGCACAGCGCCTAAAGCCCGACTATGTAGACGCCTAACGATCGAGTGATCGCGTCTTTTGCTTCAGTAGCGGGATCCGCCGAGGGAAGCCGATTCCACACGAAGGTCTAGGACCGAACGTGGATACGTGCTTATGAGAGCCGCCCTGTAGGCAGCCTCCTACTGCTGCTTCTGTGCCTCGTCGAAGCAATTGGTAGTTATACCACTTCCCCGTAAGTCGAGAGATTAGTAAATGGACACGGTGTTCGCGAGGATTGAGCAGGGCTCGCGTCGCGCCGTTATCGCACCTCGCCCTTCTCTTCTTCCCATCCTAGGAGAGAAGTATCCGACTCGTAGTTGACTTCCTTCAAATCCTCGACGAGGAAATCCGCCGCCCGTGGTGGGCGCGGTGTGTGATACCCGATTGTCGAGGGCTTGGGATGTGCTCCCCGTGAAGCTGCAGACGTACTGTCCGGAATTGCACAGCAGACAGGAGACGAAGTAGGGCTCTGCCCGCTGGCGCCCTCGGAACCTGCTAGGCTGGGTGTTTTTCGTGCCATATACACAGGGTTCGTTGAGCGTAGAATGTTCAAAGATGTTCTGAAAGACCTGCATTTTGCCAGTTTACCTGCATGCTAACACAATTATGGGATGTGACATCAGTCTCTAATTCTTACCGTATTTACGCTTGACACATACAATGCCTCCCGAATCGATGTTTAGCTGTCGGGCATATTGTCGTGGATGTCATTGAGGTATATAGGAGACTTGAGATTTTAAGTACGACAATTTTTTGTATGGTGCACAAATGGAAGGATTTCGATGGCGCACGAAGTAATAAAACAGCTGACGAATAATACATACTTTACTTATATACGCCATTAAAAAAGACAGGAGCTACATTTAAGCTTTAAGAAAGGGTGTAATTCTATAAGCTGCATATTACTTTGTTGAACTGAGTTTTTATTTCTCCAATATTTTCTTGCTATTTGCCCTATTTCCACAATTTTTAATAATTATAATGGCTAAGGTAATAATTGCACAGCAGAATTATGACAATCAGGCCATAAAAGTAACAAATCAGCCCATTTTCAGTAAATCACCCCCTATTGGCCATCGAACATTGACTGAAATTTGACTTCAGAAGGGACACATGCAGACCATATGCAAACGATACAGCATTTCATCAGGTTTTATTAAAAGTTCCTAAAAGGATTCAGTCCAGATCTTGACATGCATATCCCAGATATGACGTGAGTCTGATTGATGCCTTTTTTTCGAAAACTGGAACTAATAAATATTTTGTAATGATCATCTTCTCGAGCTGACCAACGATTGGCTCTGAGCTATATCCAGGCATCTATGTCGACGAAAACGAATTAGAGCTTTGATGCAGTGCCCTTCCCATGAATATTATTCTATGCACAGCGCCTGATTAGTCTTGAATATGGGACACACGTATAGCTCTTCATCAAAGACCTACCCATCGGTGACCGTGTCTAACTGTGGCATAAAAACGCCTATCGACCCTTGGAAAGATGCTCTCACAAGCCTGTTGGATTGAGTTGGTGTATGAAATTAACAATCGGATTTCTGCCGATGATCTATCTGTTTGTTCGTCCTTGATCTTGCCGAGTTACCAAGCTCAAAGTGGTATAATTTCTTAAAAAAAACTCATGACTCAATGCTGGCATTGTGGTGACATCAAGACCATGTAAAGTCTCATCGTGATGTATGCAGCCACTTCCTACACTATACAGCAGCGGTAAATGTGATCTAGTTTGCTTGGTGGGCAACTTCTTCCTTCTCTTATCGCGGTCGAGTGTTTAATGGCGTTCCTTCAGATAATGGCATTCAAGTTTGGTTTAGAAACGTGGATGGCAGCAGAGATGTCATGTTTTTGCGAATGTGATTACTTCGATCTGGAGCATCTGCACTCAGTGCCGACTATATGATCCATGACTTTTTACTTACTGTGAGTCAGCAACAATGCCGTCGTAGTGTCACAGCATTGACCGCTACAATCACGTACAAGCGCTACGCGCACTTTTTGTAAAAGCGAATGTTGCAACGCTTAACACGATTATTCAAGTCAAATATCCATTGAATGAATTTTACATTGGCTATATCTCGTAGTGTCGAAAAATTAATGCAGCGCGAAGCGATAGTGTTGTCAATGTGCTACTATGTCACAGCGCTTTTTTAACGTTGACTCTTTTTGATACTGACATGAGCTGTTTGAGGTCGTGAATCGCTTATCAAAGTGTACGAGTGCGCAGCACTCGATTGGTCGGTTTAAGCTGCTTGCGTATACATGTCCCTCCCTATCTTGTCACAAATTTGTTTGAGTCACGTTGCACACCAAACGACTCGGTTTTCCATAAAAGACCGTTCGCTGGTTGCGACATCGGACTTTACTGGTTCCTCTATTGCTGCAATCCGCTGAGCTCGGAGTTATCGACTTTGACGTAGTATGGTCTTGCTGGAGGCAAGTCCGGGATATTTTGATATTGCCAATGCACACGGCGGAGACTCGGCTTGCTAATATGGTACTTTGTCACGTTAACGAATGCGCAAACGTTGAGCTGACAGCTGTACACCAGGCAGTGTGTCGTTGCCTAGCCATGTGGCAAAGCGCCACACGGATGCTTGCATCAATTGGTTTGGCTTGCCTGTAACGTCCGCCATTTACTGTATCATCCGAAGAGAAGCAGACTCACCGAATTTCTCAGAGTTATGTCGTGGTGATGCATTAATGCTACTGTTAGAATTAAATGCGAAATTATGACTTGACTTTTGAACTTTTGGCGACAATGGCTGTCGAGTTCCAACACTAAGTGTTGCAGTAGCAAGACGACGGAGTGAGATTAAGTGCATAGGAAGCAGCTGTCAGGGTCAGGACAACTAATAATGTCAAATGTACAGTGGGATCAAAAAATTGAGGGCATAGATGTAGCAAAGTAATCGATGTGATTCGCGCTGTGGCAAAACTATACACTCCTACTTATCGTGACGCAATTGCTTTAGAGCGTCTCGCAGTCGGGATCTATCGGCACGAGATTGCCAGCACCTTTATACGTCTCGATAATCGTGGCTTGTTCACACAGGATAAGACGGTCTCGATTTGTGCCATGCTCGGCCAGTTTGCGCCAGCGAGCGTAGTCCTCTGGATTGCGCTTGTCGCCGTGTGCATCTTCAGGATGCTCCCAATGGCCTTTGGAGAAACCAATCATGGTTGTTATCTTCTGCTCCATCATATCATACACAAGTGACACAATTGTGCCAGTCTCTTCGAGCCAATTGCATTGCCACAACTCCCCAGGACGAATGCATTGGAAAGACACGGTCTGGTAATTTAGACGGCCAGCCATCGGACCGCCTTGAATTGAATATACAATACGCTTGTCCGAGAAAAACCACATTTCGTAGCGCCACTTCTGAGGCTGACCGTCAGAATCCTCAGCATCATAATCGTATACCAAGTGAAGGTCACGAATGTCTTCATCAAAAGAAGGGTGTAACGGAGTGTTGGTGTGATATCCTGGAACTGTGATTGTCATTCTTGCACACTTTGATGAATTAAATTATGAGTTAGATGGCGAAACGAGAAATGCTTGACACGCGGCGTGGCAGAATTAACGCATTTGTGATTCCTATACATCTTGACCAATCCGGTTTTGCTGGTATTTGTCTTGAATGTACTGTATAATCGACACACTGTTGTTAACCATCCGTACCCAGCAGCTGCTTAAAGTATAATGGACGAACTAGCTGGATATCAAACCATGCGGACAAGTCTCAGTGCAGAAACATGTATCTAAACACACACCGACAGCCACCTTTTTAACTGGCTCGTGATGAGGCTTTTAGAGTAATTCGACCAATCATTATGTAGAATTATATTATCTGTCTAATTCAAATATGGCAGCCAAGTTTACCATGGTCAACACCTCGGGACTATTCGATCCAGCGGCCCATGTGGAAGCTTCGGACCGAATGCAGAATGCAATGGAAGAGCTGAAGTTGAAGAATGAACAGCAGGAGACAATTCGTGCACAACAGAAGGATAAACAGGAGAAGGAGGAGAAGCAGCGCATAAAAGGAATCGAAGAGGCGCTGGCTGCCAAAGCTGCAGAGCAGAAAACTGATCGCTCATATGTTAGAGATAAACAACTGAAAGAGATAAGTGATTCGGATGACGAGGAAATGTTGAACCAATTAGATGATGATCCTGAGCTTGAACGGTCAGTAGTGTGGTGAGATAGCTTGAGTTGCTGTAGCACTGTAACACTGATGTTGCTTTTTGTGAAGAATACGCACTGCCAGGTTAAAGCAACTGAAAAATGAATACGAAGAGCAACAAATTTTATTAGCAAAAGGACATGGCGAATTTCGCGAGATTAGTCAGGACGAATTTTTAAAGGAAGTGACGAGCAGTCCGTTGGTAGCTGTGCACTTTTACCATCGCGACTTCGAACGCTGCAAGATTATGGACATGCATTTGGCTAAGTTAGCACGCAGTCACATCGAATGCAAATTTTTAAAGCTTGATGCGGAAAAAGCTCCGTTTTTCGCTAAAAAGCTCATGATTCGAGTTTTGCCATCAATTGTGTGTTTTAGGGATGGCGTGGCGTTCTCCGAGCGAATTATTGGATTTGAGGGATTAACATCAGACGACGAAAAAGCTGAAGCTTCGAATTTTGGGAGTCGAAAGACTGCACATGCAAATGACAACTTTCCTACCGCTGCCGTACGATTGATGCGTTTTCTGCCTCTTTTGATGTTGCTATAATATTAATTCCGTGACTTTGTCATTGCAGCTTGCTCGCAAGATGGTGGAAATCGGCGTCATTCGAGAAAAAGACAGTGCCGGTAGCGAATAACATTTCTCTCTTCTTCTGCAGCGGCAACAAGACGCATTTACCTACATAATGCCTCACATGTAGCGCTGTGCATCGCTTAAAAAGCAGTAAATTGGATTTCTTGTATTCGTCTTTCTTCTTTCTAATTGGTCGAGAATGAAAAAATATCTCAGTACAGCCTGATAATGTCTCATTTATAAACTTGCGTCAAAACGACGCCGGCAATTAGCCGTACACGGCCACCCACACTCACTATCCTAGCACAACTAACAGCAGCAGGTAACGTCTCGCAGTTTTTGCTGCTAATTTCAGCCTTTCTAAATCATACCATCCACTCTCTGCTTCAGATGAACATTGGCGCCAGTAGCTCGTCAAACCGCCGACGAGTGTCTCGGCCACCTTCAGCTAGGATGGACGCTCGGTATAGTGACCGAAATGCGCCATTAGCAGTCGCTGTGGCCGTTCCTTCACACCAGAGTCCGTTTGAGAAGCTCAATACGTTGAAATTGCTCCTTGATTGCGGCCATTTGACCGCTGACGAATATCAAGAGCGCAAGACACAAATTATAAACGAAATGACGGGCACATCAACTGAGTGGAAGAAAACTTCGCCACGATCTAGAAGATCAGGATCAAATGAGAATTCAGCACTTCAGCCACTTCTGAAGACTGTGGTGCCACATGGCCCTCCAGATTTTTCGAGGATCAGAAAAGAACGTGCAGATAAATTAAGTTTTGATGTGGACACACTGGAGTGGCATTCGACGCCAGTTAGAATAAAATTGGATTTGGTGCCATTTGCCACAGGACAACTTAGAAGTGCGTACTATTTACAGGTGTGCTATGTGATTTTCATGTTTTATTTGTGGGTCAATCTAATTATTTGATTTATTGGAGCAGGAAGTTGGTGCAGATGAAAGTCCGTCACGATTACTCGTAGCCAAAGTCAGTATACGTCCAGCTGAGCCTAGCACTTATCTCAGTGACGTAGAAATGCAAGCAGTTTGTGCACATTATGCCGCACTGTACAATGAGCATGAGCCTCCATTAAAAGTGTGTTATGCTAGATCATGGTTGCTTAAGCTGAGGGATCGAGAGAGTGGAACGCTCGTATGTTCAGTAGAAGAATTTCTACCTGGGGCGTATGTAAAATATAGCAATAACAGTGGATATGTGGGTCGGGAGACGAGCACGACTGAAGAACGAGAACGTAATACACCTCAAGCCTTTTCACACTTTACGTTTGTGGCATCAGATTTCCGATTAATGATAGTCGATATACAAGGAGTTGCTGATAGTTATACTGATCCTCAGATTCATTCCGCTGATGGACGAGGTTTTGGGGTTGGAAATCTCGGGACGTTTGGAATGGAGAAGTTTCTCGAAAGTCATCGATGCAATGAAGTGTGTCGATGGTTGGGACTTCGAAGTATCAATGAACAATACAAACCTGGTGGTACCGCGGCACCCCGGTATGAGATGCCATTTGGCGGAGCCATCAAAAAGTCTACAAATCGGATTACAGAGGAACGCAATACTTTCTCGACATCGGTCACTGTAAGTGAAGCCTTTGGAGATACAGCAAGTGCCGATTGGACAGAAAGAGAAGGTGGAGAGGAGGAAGAAGATGAGGATGATGAGGATTTGGGCGAGCAATCGGACTCGACATCTTATGCAACAGACTCATCGCCTGCTATGGCAGGGATCCACTTACGATATCCAAAGTCGATTCAACAAAAGCGAATGCCATCTTCTGCACCACGATTAAGATCAAAGGACCGTGAATCTAGTCGGCGATTTCGTCTTACTGCAAATATTGGTCAAGGTGGGCTTGTTTCTGGAAAATTTGAGGCGGAAAGTGGAGGGGTATGGATAGGCTTGCTTCGAAGATTGTGCTGTGGATGTGCCTAACGTTGGAATGTAGAGTGCCTCTGATCGTATATTGTTGCATAAACGGACACATATCAAGTTTAAGGGGAATCAGTGTAGTTTATTTGAGAGGTCAGTTATTGTAATGATGTTGCATTTCACAGAATTGTGCATAAATATTGATGTAGATTTTCTAATCTAAGAAATTAAGTTATTCTTATTCCCAATGTAGTATTTCTAACTTATCTACTTCAATAGAAGCTAAGTGATCATCATTATGAACATTGCTCAATATTAAAAACACTTTTCTTTATTTGCCGTTCTGTCTAATCAAGCTCTAGCCTATACTCCCACCTTACTATGTCTCGATGCCTATCCTCGACTCTGAGTCTGAGGACCACCCCACCAAAGCAGTGCAACAATCACAATAGCTACAATAGTGTAACGGGGTCACATGAGAGTGACCCGTCACTCTCCCAAGGGAGCTGTGGTGTG